CAAAGTTTTCAGGCGCCATCTAAAACTCTACGAACTGGTCTGTGTTTTCAGAAGCATTGAACAGATCTCTCCCCCCCACCCCAGCCCCCTCGCTCCCACTCTTCAGCAGCAGACCGAAGCTGAAGAGAAACGTCACGAGGAATATCTTCTAACAAGCTGTCCCCACACAGGTAACGTGTGCAAATGGATTTTGGTGACTTAAATTCACTAACAACGCCCGATTTAGAGCAATCTCAAACTGAAGAAAAGAAAGATTCTGAATGAACTAAGTAACGGAAAATACAACTTTTCTATTCAGCATGCTGTATTTCACAATAGATTGTGGCAGATAAGGAGAAGTGTTCTTTCCATCTTAAGTGCTTTATTTTAATTTTCTTCCATTTTTAATTTTTATTTCAACTTACTTTAAAACTCACTCATTTTTCTTTTGGAAAATATTACTAATTATTATCCTGTGAGTGTGTTTTATATCCAGTCCTTTACAGCATGCTCACTGCCAGCGCTCATTAAAAAAGCCTCTAATCCTGCTTCTATTTAGCAATGTGTCATAAACGTTGTGTCTCTACATTTTGTAAGTCCTGGACCCACGAAGAACAATTTAAAAGCTGATTCAGCCACACAAATCCTAGGAACTGATTCTTCTCTTATGTATGTGCCCTATGCTACAACGAGCTTCAAAACCCAAACCAACACAAGAAAGAATGCACGACTAGTTACCTGCTTTTGGACACACAGCCAAAGGTGGTGGGCCATGTAGTCATCTGCCTCCCACAAAGGCTTGGGGACTTTTAGGGACTCACTGTCATTCATCAGAATCAGCTTTAGATTCCAGCATGGGAAGTTGGGAATCAGAGGGGTTTCCACTAGTGCCGAAAGCCCGACGGCTGCGTGCCTGGCATCACATTGAGAGTGTTAAGAACCTCACCTTTATGTAGCACAAGACGGGCCTCACACTGCAACCTAAACCACTCATTTTCAGAGTTGTGTCTGATCAGAACCCGGACTGATGTGCTCCAAAGCAACAGCTTAAGAGTTCGCTATTGGGAAGATGCTGAAGATGGAAGAGGGCTCTCAAATCCCACCTTCCAGGCTCCTTTTCCCACTGGGAAATGTGAAGGCTCTCCTAAAGATAGGCTCCTTTCTGCTTTCTCTCAAGGAATAGGTGCCTAAGGAACCTCTGCCAAAAACTCAAGTCCTCTGCAGGACGGCAGTGCCTGGACAGAGGTCTTCTAGCTCAGACCGGTAAAATTACATACCAAAGCCCCATTTCACAGCTTAAGTCATCCTTTTAAACAATCTGCCAATCCTTGGCTGCAAGTCACCACCTCAGCGTACCTACCAGTGGCTGCCCACACGGTAGGTAGTCCACCTCCCAGTTCCCAGCGTTGGGAGCAGAGCCCGTCAGATGGAAGCCAGAAATGGATCACTCCCCAGTGAACTCAAAAAGCATCCTTAGTTCATGCAGGATGCAATCCTGACTCTTGTACATTTACTAGGCAAATCTCCCACCTGAACACCACCTGAGAATAGGGGGCCTTATTTTGACAAGAAAGCAGGTTTTTGGGAAGTAAATGAGATGTATGTGCTTGCTTGGGGCAGATACCGACCTAGAGATTGATACACACACAACGCTGCCAAAATTCACGCCCGGGTTAAAACACCACTCACAGCAAACGGAAGGAATTTCAACAAGTCCAGATGCTTTGTCTAGTGTCAGAACTGGAAAAAAGACCATCTTTCTTTCCTTCTGTATTTCATATACGATGTTATGAGTATAAAATAATCTAGTAATTAACCGTCAGACAATTTCTCAGGTTGAACCAATGAAGTTTTGATAACATTTGGCACTTGGCAATAATACAGCCAGGTTAAGGTATATTTAAGCATAAATACAAACAATAATGGAAAAAACAAAGGAAATAAATAAGTCTTTTAAAAATTAAGACTTGTTTCTATTTAAATGAACACAATTAGGGAAGCTAACATAAAGGCGAAAATCTTTTGTCAACTAACTCAAAGTCACTACAAACTTTATTTCTGCTTTACTTTCTGAAGTTGAAATAGCATGTTACAATGACGTTATAGTAAATATGGCCAGACAGGTTGTGAGGTATAGTCCTCTATTTTCCTTGCTTTTAAAGAAATAAAATACCTGTTACAGATCTCTTCTGTATAAAAATACTGCAAGTCTTTCTTTCTTCTTGTTTGCTGTATAGATCAAATACACAGCTTTTATGTCCATGGGTTTTTCGTGTTATTCAGTCACTTAATTTTCACATGGCTCTAGGTTTTAGTATCACTGGTTTTTACTTGGAAGGATTTTTTACATATTTTTTTTCTTTTGACATTTACTATCTGCATTAACAGTCAGACAAGAGCACCCACCCTTTAGGATTAACAGATAGAAAACAAGTTTGCTCCTATTTTTAAGGCATTTATACTCAATGTTTGAGTGTCTTAGTGGGTTTGAAATCTCAACCATTATGTTTCCAAAGCTGTTGCAAAGAACAACTTTAAATTCTGCTGTTTATCAGCCACCACTTTTGATCTGTGACGCAACTTTTCTCTTTTTCTCTCTCCTGAGCAACATCATTTTGGTACCTTACACAGGAACAGGGCTGTTCTTTGTATGAGTTTCTAGAGCTTTGATACTGCTAACAATCTTCTTCTGAGGCCCCACAACTGTCACGCCGACTTTCTTCATGTCACTGGAAAAAAGAGAAGATGCATCGGGTGAGTGAGCATACTGCCTCTGTGTTTCCTAGAGCTGATGTGAGCAAACAGCAATCAACTCGCTCATCTTATATGGCTGCATTGGAGGAGCCTCCAGGCACGGTGATATTGCTGAAACACAAGCCCTGATACGAAAAATACTGAGAGCCATTGTATGAAAAGAGCAGGAGGCCACAAGAAAAGAGTAAAAACTCATTTACCCTTGTTGTGTTTGCTTACTTGGAAGAAACAACAATGAAACAGTGTTCTCCAGCGATACACCCACTGGGATTTAGGGGCAAGGGGTTCACTTCTGGGCCAGTTGTGATCTTGAGTCTCTCTAACATCTTCTTCCCCCTATCAGCCTGATCGCTTTTTGTGAGCAGCGCCGACATCTCGCTGTTACGTGCTGAGCCCTCTGAATCGTCGTCTTAACTCTGGCATCAGCACTGAGATTAACGGCTACATGGCCAAGTTCCCAGCATCTACCCTGTTTTTCACCTCTCATTTCTCCAGGTCGTCCAGTCTCTTTGTTCCTTGTGCAACACAGAAGTGGTTTAACACTTGTGAAGGGCTAATTAACCAGTGGCTCACAGGAAATTGGGCATTCCTAGAGGATTTCGGCACTGTCCCCAAAGGGTAATTGTTATAAAGAGCCATTAGCAGCCTTTTTATAGTTGCAATAATACACTAATTAACGGCATTGATGTGTTTAATTGCCGGTACCGCAGCTGCTGCTTACTTCTTCATAACTTGTCATGTATCCAGCTAGTCCAACAGGGAATCAAGATTTCCTTTGGCAGTAAGTTCATAGCTGTACTTGATGCCTTTTCAGGTGCAGAGAGAACATTACCCTACTCTTCCTTATCACTAGAACAAAGATGGATTGCATTTAAATGTAATAAACTTGCAAGCTGTCAACTTCCAAGTTTAGCATGTTTAAATGTCAAAACTGGAGGCAGGATGGAGTTCAGCCCCTGAATAATTATTAGCATGTAGGAGGAAAGCAGCTACAAAGAGCTTGCTCTGTCTCACCTGGTTTCATGGACTATGGGATGGGCACTGAAGGAAAAGACTGGCAGACGTGCCAGCTGTGAGAAAATCCCCATATAAAAGGCAGAATATAAAGAACCAACAGAGAAAATCCTAAATTGTGAGTGAAAGTGAAGCTGCTGTACCAGGTGATGCACGGTGCTACTGTATCAGAAGAAAACGGGAAATTCCTTGTCATCAGTGAGAAAAAGCTATAGGATTGTGGCCTTCACACGTCATCAGAGCATCTAGGTTTCCTGCATGTGTATTGCAACTACAACAATAATTTACATTTGTCTCTTTAAATGTAAGAATATTTTAGCTAAAACCTGGAAACTCCATATAAAAATGCTACTCTTATGCTTGAGTATAAACTTGTACCTCCAGCCACAACCAAGGACAAAGAGCTACAGTCAATTCAAACTTACTCGGTAGAAATCTTGGCTATTGTATCACAGGAACTGTACTCCACACCCGTGAAAATGTCTTTGCACTGTCCTGTCCGAAAACCGTTGAGCCAATCACCTGTCGTGCGGAAGGCTGAAATGTCAATGTTACTTTGGTCCAGGAGAAGATTTGATGGCCTGAAACAAAAAAGAATGTGACGAAAGTTAGGCAGCAGGGATATGTATGGATTTATTTTTGTGTCTAAACTTAGCACTGGCATTTGTAGAGCAATTGTAGGACTTGCTCTTTGTAGAGAGACACGAGACTTGCATTCAGCAGTGCACAGAGGTGAAAATGAGGAAATTTGTTATTAAATACACTTAGCCAAATGTAAAATACAATTGCTGTGGTCAGTTTAAAATTGATGCTTACTCTAAGACTGAAACTTCCATAAGGATATCATATAAATAATTTAGAAGTGAGAACTGAATCATCTCCTGCCTTTGAAATTAACTTGGTGCTCATGAAGGATGCTGAACTGACAAGATTTGAATCCAAGTTCTCTACTTAGAAAACAATGAAGAAAACAGCCAGAAACAAACAAAATCAACACGACGAATCAAACAAAATGTCTGCCCATGCTTCTTTGCCCATCTAAACCTTTCTCCATCTGCATAAGCCTACCTATAAGCTACTGAGAAAAAAAAAATAACCTTCTGAAAACAATGAATAAATGTATAATTTTTTTTCAGGAAGGAATATATTGCAGCTGACCCCGCACTTTGCATATTGCAAATGACAAAAATAGCTGCTCCCATATTGATCCAGAAATTCAGTTCTGTCTGGTATGAATACTTGTTTTCATGGGCTCGTGAGCATACTGTATCTTCTTATTTGAGAGCATCAAGACTAAAAATAAATGCCAGCCCTTCCCCATGAAGTCACTAGAGTCAGGCTCTACCACACCTCATTTTAGCCATCTAAAAATACCACAAATCGGCCCAGCTAGTTTTCTAAACTACTGCTGCAGTCGATGGAGAGACACACACATTTCCAGTCAGGGGGTCTGTCCTCTCTGAAAGGGCTCCTATTCCAAGCGGTGTGAGAAGCCCCTGAAGAGCAACATGATCAGTAATTTCTTTCTACTGACAAGAGATCTTACTAATTCTAGTTACCTTTCTCTCTCAGTGCTAATTAGTACAAGGATGACTTCCTCAACTAGTCAGAAGTTATTACAGACATCAACTCTATTCCTGCATTTTTCCCTCCACTGACAAACATGTCCATATCGGACAGCTTTTTAGCCCCCATTCAGAAACATATGTGCTCCATTTTAAGTAAAGTTATCTTATAGGTGCCTATCTCAGGCTTAAAGCTAAGCATGTGCTTAGCTGTCCTACTATGATGGTGCTACTCATCAGCACAGGAGACCGAACGAAAGGATGTTCAAGGCAGTTATCACAACTTTACAGTCTATTTTCTACCCCGTAATTCTTTTTCCCTGCGGCTCTAATGAAACATCACCTGCACAGGAGTCTGACTACTTCAGCTGAATCCATCTGAAGTGACTTTTTTAACTTCTTTCCAGTGACAATGAGAGGTGGTTAGACTAACACCGTAATTTAAAGGCAGTGATTACACAGTATATTGTGTAGATGACAGCTACCGGTACTGGAGAACTGATCTGGATAGTAGAACACCCTATTCACCCCAAACCCAAGCCATTTCTGAGCACTGGAAAAAAACACAAATGGGGGAGATTGTAAAGGCACCAAAGAGAACAAAGTATTTAAATACCAGTGAATTAAAGCTCATAGGCAGCCTAGAAAATCCAAACGAAACTTGTCAATCCCAACACAAGTCTTTTTGCAGCACCACAACAGCATACCCTTTGCAGTACATCTGACTTGCACTGGAATCAGGAGATACCACATCAGTTACACCGAGACTTTTATCTTGTACTTTTGAAGAAAAGAACAATATAGCTTTGTGAAACGATAACTTTTGGCATTGGCTGCATATTAAACAGCACCTTTTACTTCTGATGCTTTGCCAATTGTTATCAATCAGCTGACTTCTTTCAGGCTCAGAAAATTATTTTAATATCTGCCCTTCTGGGATTGCAGGCCATAATTAAAGAGCTCATTAGATGCTTGAAAATCTTAACTTCAAAACCACAAATGGACATAACACCCTTCATCAATCTTCACCAGGTCTCAGAGCAACGATGTCCCTGATGGGACACCTTTCCCCTGATCACCTTCCCTCTGGAGCCCGGCCAGGACAAGGAGCTGCTGCAAATGACCCCGATCACCGGCACCAACTATGGACTTCACATCCGCAGATGGAAAAGAGAGTGACAGAAGACACCAAAAACCTGCTCTGCCCCCAAAACACTGAAGAAGGGAAAGCACAGCACGGCCGCACTGACACAAAGACTGAGCTGAGGACAGAAGATGCAGCATGCTTCACGTTACTGGTCTCATGCTAAAAACAGATCTTAGGCACCTACGTGATACACAGCTTTAAACGCCCTCCAGCTAAAGGCTCAGGTTCGATAATCAGGCCCAAGATATTTTTATTCAGTAGCTGTGCAGCCTGCATCTCCCTGACTACTGTTAGTCCCATGAAGAGCCAATGCTTTTTATTTACAGTTTTCTGGACATAGCATTGGAATCCCAAGACATTTATTAAGAGTATTTATGAAGTGTTCTTAGTGATAAAGCATGGAGAATTTTTTTTTTCCCCAGCCTAGTACATCTTTTTAACTTTAATAAAACAAGGCTGGACTCAAGAATCACTAATGAAAAAAAAAAAGTATAAACAAGTTGAAATAGAACAGGCCTCTAGGATTAGGAATTAGAGTGGCCCAAAAGAGCTTTTATGTTTATTACTTGGATCAAAGTATCATCAGGACAAAAAATATGACCTAATTTTAATGCAAGTGACCTCAGAATAACCAGCACTGTAAAGTATCATTTTTCTTCTTGTAGGATTCCAAACAAAAATTAGTTACTTTCCTCCTCAGAGAGGACATCTGGACAGTTTATCAATGAACAGGAATTTGTCTCACTGTGAAGAGTCTGTGATGTCTCCTCACATGCACCAAGGGAAAGCTGGACTTTCAGAGCATCTGCACACATCGGCAGTTTTTTTCCCCCTGACCCAGCCCCTAGACAGAAGGTCTGAACATGAAATTTATGGTCTGGGTGATGTGCGCCATGAGCTCACACTTTACTAGACAAATTAGACGGGTTGCAATCCGTGCAGCTGTAAACGACGTCCTGCAGGGTTCCACCTGATCTTTTACAGCTTTTCATAAATCAGTACCTACTAGCTTCAGAAGAGAGTCATTAAAAAGAAATCATGGAAATTACATGTTTGCTCAGGGGAAGTGAAATAGAACATTTCCCTCTGTGTTTTGTTTTCTTCTCTCCCCTCCTTTTTTTTTTGGAAACTCTTTTTACTTTGTTGCTTTGGCGATCTACGATATAGCCCATCGTGTCATCTTTCGACAGTCATGGAAAGACTTTCTATCCTGTTCATCCTGACTGTATGTCTGTCTACAGAGTTGTATTTACTGACATGTGGTACCCTGAAAAAAAAAAAATCAGCAAGACTTAGGTTAGAGAGACAAATTTAACAGCCAGATGCCAGTTACAAAATTCCCTGTTGCTGAAAGCTTTCTCTGGATGCGTCCATTACGTTAACAGTTGGAATTAACCCCTGAGTTATCCGCAGTAGCAGAGGGAACTATAGTTTGTTATCATTAGCACAGCTTTTTGTCACAACACAGAGAAACTTTTGCTGCCCCATATAGTAACAACAAAGACCACAGAAAACATCATTAGAACCCTTCCCAAGACGGCATGGAAATCTCGCCTCTGGTCCGCTGCTGCCTGGCGAGAAAGGGCTATATTAACTTGAAAATTCAGGAACTGAGACAAATAAAAGGAAAATGTCCTGCCACTTCTGCATGAAGGCTGGTATTCTGCAAACACACAGAGGAGTTGTGCACACACGATGCCAGACTCAGTATTGCAGTAGCCTCTCTCTTTCCATCCCTTCCTCCAAACAACACAACCGATGTTCAGTTTTTAAATCTGGACTTCCCCTTCCACAGTCAGATTCTTTTAAATGGGAAAGCATCTAAAAAATATAAAGTAGTTTCCTGTGGCAAATTTTAGGTAATTATAAGCTGATTTTGTAAAGTGAAATTGGTCCCTAGGAGGGAGCCAGGCGTGGTTTGAACACAAATCCTATGTGCTCTATGATTATGGCAAGCTGAAGCACAGAATCCAAGTCTAATGAGAAGGATATCTCCTATTTCAAGAAAACAAACAAACAGACAAAACCCAACAGCTAGCATACAAAGCAAATCTTAGTTTTATCGTCCACAGCAAGCAGAATCGTAAGAATATATGTGTATCAACAGGAGACTAGTAAATAAATGACATGCCGAGGAGAAGTAGAGTCATTGTGTTTACTTGACTATCCCCGAACCTGAAAGATAAGAATCTTTGGAGTTCCACCTCTTTGTGCCCCTTTTTTAAGATACCCTTAGCAAAATTTGTAACTTAGTCACTAAAATACAATTAATCTCTTAGGGTGGCACATCTGCTTTTCCCAAGAGGCTTCATACCACGCTTGCACGCTCTGAGAATATGTAGGTTGTGACTGCGTCAAAAGAGCTGGAGAAATAAAGAGGGGTAATACAAATAATCAACGGGGGAAAAGACTGCAGGTGAGGCTGCGGGCCCGCTGCAAAATGATACATCTCTCTAAACGTCACCCTGAACTTCTGATTTTCTAGCTCCATGTTATCCATTGGCAAAAAACTTACCACGGCTTCCTCTAGAATAACGAGCAAATAAAATTACATCTGCCTCGTATGTCAGTCCTCCAGTCTTCCCTACTCCTTTAGCTGCCCCTCAGAACATGGTTTTCAAGCATCCCTGTGGGGTAACAAATCATATGCCTGGGTGTATCAATGCTCCTCAACTTACTTTTTCCCCCCCACCAAAACCACTGGAGGCAAAAAATACCAGCACGTTCCTCATAATACAGCTTAAGCTGTGCTTTCGAGCTGCAGAAGAGCATCACGTGGCTGTTTCCTGGGATTCATGGCTGGCCCGGAGACAGACCCTTATCAACAACCAGTCATTACTGTTAGGACAGTCTATAGGCTCTTTAAACA